AAATAGTAATCATCCATCCATGAAAGTTGTGTTCTTTGCCTTTTGTTGCCTACAACCAGTTGATTAGGTACATTATTTTTCATAGGTATTTTATCATTTTCAATGTTAAGTTCATTCTTAATATCGGGGTCATTAGTGGGAACAACATTGTAATAATCATCATCTATTACAGTTAGAGGTTCTGTTTCCTCTCGAACTTGTTCATCTTCCTCTAGATTCTCTAGAAATGTAGCATCTCTGCTTTCAATGACTTCTTTTTCTTTATTGTAGAATTTATAACCTTTTGATTTTTCTGAATACCCTATGAATCTATACTTTATTGTTTTAAAATCTAACTTATCTCTAAGTTGACATGGAATGAGAACATGGGCTATAGATTCCCACTTTCTGAGATGACTTAAATTAGGTTTCCTCCCATTCCATAATTCATAAGGTATAGATACAACTGATTTGGTGGGGATTCTATTTAAAATTGTAGTTTGCGGTTAACAATGCTTCTCCCCAAAAGATTTTAGAGAGACCAGAATGAGACAACATGCATCTAACTACATTTAATAATGTTCTGTTTTTTCTTTCAGCAACACCATTCTGTTGTGGCGTATACGGCATTGTCGTATGTCTTTTAATTCCATGCTGAATACAATAACTTTTAAATTTTTTAGAATTATATTCTCCACCTCTATCAGTTCTAAGAATTTTGATTTTCAATCCAAGTTGGTTTTCAACTTCTGTCTTATATCTCTTAAAACAATCAAAAGCTTTTAATTTTCTGGATATAAGATAGACGTGTGCAAACTTAGAATAATCATCTATAAAAGTAATAAAATATTCTTTATTACATGAGTTTTGATACTTAGGGGACCACAAATGTCCGAGTGTATCAACCCTAAAAGTTCATTGGCTCTCTGTCCGCCAATAAAAGGTTTTTTGGTCATTTTACCAGTTAAACAATGTTTCACATGGTGGCAATTAAACATTAGATAGTACAGGAAGCAAGTTCATTCTGATAATTTCTTTTATTTTTGAAATACTAACATGTCCTAGTCTAGAATGCCACAATTCGGATTCAGAAATATAACAAGACAAGTGGTTCAAATTCGAAATTTTATTATCAGAATTATTACAAACTACTGGAAGAATACATAATTCATGCTCGAGCACATATTTTCCCATAGCATACACTTTATTATTCTTGCTTATAGAAACCTTATTATTGTAGAACCTCACTTTCAGTCCTTTCTTCATCAAGCTGGGAACAGAGATCAGATTGCGTCGAATTCCTGGCGCATAGAACATATCTTTGAGGACAAGAATGTTGTCCCCAAGATCCAATCTATACGAACCAATACCTTCTACATCGAGATAGGTATTATTTCCCATATAGATTCTCTGTTCTTCTTTCTTCATCTCGGTGAATTCTACGACTCCATTCTTGTCCTTTGCAATATGCCTAGTCGCACCGGAGTCGATCCACCAACCACTGATATCCGTCATCACAGCATTACATTCCGTCACACCGACGAATTCTCTTTTTCTAGTACCCCCTTGTTCTGGATGCTTATAGCCTCTCTTATTCTCCTGCTTTTCACCTTGTGGGCAATTGGGTTTGAAATGCCCGAACTTTCCACAATTGTAGCAGGCTCCGCGGGGTACTTTCTTTCTCTTGAACTGCTGCGATTTCGGTCCTCGCGGTTGTGGTTTACTAGAACCAGGATTTTTATAGCTTCCAGCATTATGCCTCTGGCGGACATAATTCAGCTCTTGCTGCACCATATTCAGTTTTGGTTCCTTCCTACTGGCTATTAAGTCATGTTCTATCGCTAGGTGCATAGGAAGATCAGTGACAGACTTAATGACAGGATTCATTATTAATGTGGTGGCAGCCACAGCAAGTGAAGGAGGAAGACTATTCTATATCCTTCGGTTAAAAGACAACCTACTCAAAGTTAAAGCTAGCCTACTCTCTTTTGTCCACTGTAGCTTGTTTTCATAGCCGTTGTTCATATCCTATCCTAGTACTCTGCAACTAGCAATTTTTTGTTCATAGCCAGCTCAACCCTATTGTTTACTAGCCTTCCTACTGTTTGCTAGCCTATTAATTGGGCCTAGTTAATACTTTTGCTCTGATACCGGTAATTGAACTCAGAGAACAAGGAAGAGGATTTCTTTGAGGGGGCTCCGATAATGGGTAAGGGTTTTCTTTTTTCTTTTTGTTGTTGTTTTCTGAAGGAGATCGACCCTTCTTTTATAGGGGCTAACCCCACTATCTCCACCCCCTCAAATCCGCCCCTTGAGAGATATTCTCTCAACAGAACCCATTTTCTTTCCACGTTCTTCTCAAACGAACGTTGATTTGGAGAGATATTCTCTCAACAGAACCCATTTTCTTTCCACGTTCTTCTCAAACGAACGTTGATTTGGTCATCTATGACCAGGTCAAGCTAACAACCCATTTTCTTTCCACGTTCTTCTCAAACGAACGTTGATTTGGTCATCTATGACCAGGTCAAGCTAACAACATGAAGACGAGTTTTTGCAAAGTGGGGCCCTTCGTAGCCAACCTTGATGACACGGTAAAAAAGAAATCGATTTTACTAATTATTTATTAAGAAGATCGGTTTTACTAATTATATTTAAAAAGCAGTCCTTTTTAAAAAAAATCTCCTCTAGGGAAACAAGCAAGCAGTTAGCCTTCTACAAATCGAGTTAAATAGAGAAGCCAAGTTGAGAAGAAATTAAGCTCGACGTAATTAAATAGATTACGTTTCAAGAACCTGTAATGAGTTTCAGTCCAAACCTTGAGCGTTTTCAATTTTGTTCTCTCACAAGTGCCATGTGTAGTCATGATGAATTCAACTTTTCTAACCCATATTATGTTTGTATACCTACTCATCTCTCAGATAATGCACCTACAAAAGGATCTTCTTGGGTCAAGCCGTGGGGTGGGTGGGCCGAGGTTAGCACGGACAGGGCGCCTCAAGGTAATCCGGGAAATTGTAAAGAGCTGGTCAGTCTTATTCGTTCGGACTCGAGACGCTAGTTGGTTGATTTTGTTGCCCACTTGGGTTATATAGCTTCAACCACATTTGGATGTCAAAATCTTATTGAATACGAGTTTAGATATCGGACAAATTTTCAAAACCGACCCATTTGAATATTTTTTTGCAAAAAACGACCCGTTTCCAAAATATTTGTAAAAACCGACCTGGTTTCAGCCCAGATGCTGAAACCAGGTCGGTTTTTGTAAAAACTTTTCCGAAACTTCACGTGAGTTCAACTCCCGTGAAGTTTAGTGTATTTTTAAACTTCACGGGAGTTGAACTCCCGTGAAGTTTAATTTCTTCATAAATCTTCACGGGAGTTCAACTCCCGTAAAGTCTGTTACAGTGTAAAAAATCCCACGCGATTCTTCTAGTTCTTTTTTCTCCTCTTTTGCTCTACGCCATCTTCATCCTCTGCATTCAACCCTGGATTCACCACCTCCCGCCATCTTCATCCTCTGCATTCAACCCTGGATTCACCACCTCCTCTCCCCTCTCCTTCTCTTTCTTCACTAGAGCTTTGGTCTTGTTCTTGCTTCCCTGGATTCACCACCTCCTCTCCCCTCTCCTTCTCTTTCTTCACTAGAGCTTTGGTCTTGTTCTTGCTTCCGTTACTATCACATCTACAAACAAAAAACCCAGTACAAAAATTAACCCAAAAAAAATAAAAAAAATCACGGGCCTTGCTCAATTTACTCATCAACCGACCTCTGAGGTAAAGCCCCTCGTGAGATGAAACGGTGACTTCAATGAAGTGAGGGTGCTCGAGATGGTGATTTCTGCAGAGGTAATACACAACAGGGATCTTCCTACTGACTTGCTTTGGAGCTGGCCTCGGCCTTTCTCTCTCTGGGCTCGCTTGAACCCCATACTTACTCATCCTAGCTTCCATCTTCCTCAAAGCCAAGATCAGATCCAGTAGTGGTGGTCAGTAGACATAAATCTCGTACGAGCGATGTAAAGCTGTTAATGGCTCCGGTGTGGAAACCCATCTTGGCCTCTTTAGCAGATTAGGCTCGATTAGGCTCATCATTCCCAAAGTGCAAATATTTTCAAGAATAATCCAATCAGCGACTTTCCGTGGTTCGCTGCAATTGGACGCTTTCTTGGGGCATTAATGGAGAGCTCCTCTTTGCTTGATTTTATGTAAGGCTAAAACGTGGGACCCATCGGCTCTAGTGAAGAAAGAGAAGGAGAGGGGAGAGGAGGTGGTGAATCCAGGGTTGAATGCAGAGGATGAAGATGGCGTAGAGCAAAAGAGGAGAAAAAAGAAGTAGAAGAATCGCGTGGGATTTTTTACACTGTAACAGACTTCACGGGAGTTGAACTCCCGTGAAAATTCATGAAGAAATAAAACTTCACGGGAGTTCAACTCCCGTGAAGTTTAAAAATACACTAAACTTCACGGGAGTTAAACTCTCGTGGAGTTTCGGAAAAGTTTTTACAGAAACCGACCTGGTTTCAGCGTCTGGGCTGAAACCAGGTCGGTTTTTACAAATATTTTAGAAACAGGTTGTTTTTTGCAAAAAAATATTCAAATGGGTTGGTTTTGAAAATTTGTCCTTTAGATATCAGATGTAGTTTTAAACCGTAATCCGATAATACAGATCCAGGTTTGTTCAGGAAAACCGGATTCGAATCCAAACTGACGAGCCAAACACAAATTGAAATACGCTACAAATTATTGATTGGATCTGCTCAAAAGCTTGGAATTAGTTATCAGTCCAATCTTGATCATTTCAGGCTTAGTTTCAAATTTTGTTCTCTATTACCAATGTCATTTTCAGCCACAAATTCAGGTGTTTCATTCATCTTAATATATGTTTATAAAAAGGAAAATGCATTCTAAAAATTTAAGCAAAAGCCCCTATGTATGCCTGACAATTTATATTTGTTTACAAGAACATTAGTGATCTCAGAATTTCAGAAACTTTGTTATCGGTGCTCGACGACCACATCTTAAATCAAATGCCAGAAGTCATATATAAAATATATGAAGGTTTTAAACCTGCACTCAGATTTAGATTTCATACTTCATTACTTTCTAATTTAACACTTAAACGTTTCTCAAACAAAACCATCATCAAACTACTAGCCACCCAACAATCTTTCAACCCAAAATCAAACACAAACCCACGACAATTCCAACAACAAAGCCAACAAAACCAAATCCGCTGAGCCTCGTTGATCCAGACACCCCCCAAACCCTAACCTCATCTACCACCGGTCCACAAAGCGAGCTATGATCATCGCTCCTCGTGTTATAATACACACTATAGAAAGCAACACGGGTGCGCTCAGCACGGGCAGTAAACGTAAGATTAGCAGGCATACTTGTCGCATTGCCCACGGCTGAGTAGTGAAAGTTCTGAACTTGGTCTCCCGCAAAAGCCATAACTGCCAAGGGATCTTGGCATTTATCCCCTGCAGCTCCTACAGTGAACGCAAGGCTATATTGCTTCTCCGGAGTTGTTGCAACCATTTGGGAGATAATGCCTTCTTTGCCTGATAACAGTTCTACGGCTCGTTTGCCTTGGGGAACGGTGTAGTGGTCGGAGTCAATGTAGCGAACTGCACGGTTGGACTCTATTATCCAACCGGGGAGAGAGGAAGTTGACTCATCAAGATTGGTTGGGAGAAGGACACCAAGGATTCTGTCAGTGAACATCCATGGGCCTTCTTCAAAGTCGCCGTTGATGACTACGTTGTCTGCAAGAAAATGCAAGAAGGTTTTCTGTTATATTCTATTTAACTAGGGTTCATGAGATTGAGATATAAGATATAACATGCACACAATGTAGCACGAGATTAAAACAGGAGGGCATAGTCAAAGTTAAGTAAGATTCTGATGCACTTTGACCTACATGGGGAGATTTAGCTTCAAATTTAAGAAAGATTTGACTAAGGACTGATTGGAGACAATCAATTAGTTAGTCAAATATTTTTAGAAGTCTGTTTTTATTAGCTTTATTATATGGAATTCTGTAATAATAATAAAAATTCTTTTCCTTTCCCTTTTAGTTTTCCTTTTCTGTTAGTCCCTAAACATCTACATCATTAACCTTTTTATATATAAAGCTAAATTACCTAATCACAAAGATAACATGCATAGAGTTTTATTTATGCATCAAATTCGGATCCTGAGCTTCAAAAGCAGGACCACATGAGTTATGTGATATGTTCAGTGAGTCACGCTTGTAGATTGTGATCCGCGTGCATTTAAATTCAGCATGGGCCACCATCATTCTGGAGAACTATTGTTGGGTACCACCTTAAGCACCATTGCTCTCTATCAAATTTGCGGTATTAGACTAAAAATCTCTCCGACATTGCTTGGGGCGCACATGTAGATGGCAAAATAGATCTCTAATTGATTAGGGCAGCTGTCAAGCTCTGCGACTTTCACTATACCATAATCAGGAAAACAATTTAGCTTCTACTTTAACAATTACAGCAGACTTAAAGCATAGATTTCTTATTGATCATATTACTCCTGTTAGATATCAACATTCAATGGACATGTCAGGGGTAATGTGTTGGCATACATAGCTGTGACCAACCTAAAATACTGATGGTTCGGGTTCAAGTGCAAATAAAACACTTAAAATTAGGTCCGTAAGGTTATTTACTCATGACGAATAAGTTAAAGAAAAATGCTTCATTTAGACATTATTGTTCCTACATCTACTTTCCTAGAGTACTTTCTACTTTATGAAGTTTTCAGAAATCTATAGCAATTTTGTTATTGACTTGTTATTTTGGAGATCTTGTTGACTATGTTTGCATAATGAAAGCACTCCATCTGTGTAGGTTCCTGGCATTACTCTTCTTCTATCACTGCCTTAACCATAAAATCGTAGATCGTCTTTATGACTATTGTGATGCCATTGGTCGAATGTGTCAGCTAACTTGGTAAGTGCGGAAGAATATGCAGTAGCCAGGAAGGATGAGGATGCTACTTGCTTCTCAAGGTGTGTTTTAATTTCTTGGGAAGAGTTATCTTTGATCTTCAATGTATTTTTTGAACCACTGCATCATCTAACACTTAAGTTACTGTAAACTGATGAGTGATGACAGAGCAGTGTTCAAGCCACAGAAAAGTTCATAAACTCTAATATGACTTGATCCGAAACTAGCCAGGGTACATTTCTCGTGCACAACTGGGTGCTAAGCTTTCACTGTTAATGACCACTTGAACCCATAAATATTGGATGAACATGGTAGTATTATTCTAAAGTTCAGATGAGGATCCTCCTATATTGCTTGAGATAACCTGCTTGAATTACTACGCAAGCAACCATGAGCATGGTCCTGTGTGTATACAACGAAATTGGCTACATGATTTGCAGCAACTAAGATGCAAACCTTCACTGATGCAATTACTTGATAGCTGTAGCAATACTCTTTTGATGAAACAATATTATCAAGGTTGGTGATTATTGAGTGAATACCTTCCACCGCATCAGGAGTGAAGAGCTTCTTAATAGCAACATTATCAATAATGGGCCCACAAGTGGGATCATCCTCCATGCCAGGATTCTTGAATGCCAGCTCTGCATCCTCCGACTCAGCCTGGAAAGCCCACGCGTATGCATCCCAACCCTCCACGCTGTACAGCGTCTGCAGGTCCACCGTGTTCGACGCAGGCCCTACCGACACGTTCAGTGACTCCAGCTGTGCACAGGTCCGTGCAGCGCTGAACGTCACTGAGTATGTTGAGCCCTTTTCCAGCTGCAACGAGTGCCTGATCTCAGCCTCGTTGCCCAGCCTTACGGCATGGTCCCCTGCACTTGGCAATTTGCAATAATGAGATTGGAGAGTTTTTTTTTTAATTTACCCATTAAAATTCTGCTAGAGAATTTTAGTTATTGTACCTTGGGGGACAATGAGGATCATACCGCCTTGTTTCTGTCCCGAGCGAACGAGCTCGACGGTGCCATTGAGAGTCCAGGAAGGGAGAGAGGTGGTGCCCTCGCCTATGCCAGCATTGGGGAATCCGCCTGCTGGTGGTGTCTCGAAGTCGCCATTCTCGAGTAGACCTGCACGATTTGTTGAATATTTGGTTAATTTGACTGATTAACTGATTTTGATATTTTCTATTGTTCTAAAAATTTGTGGTATTTTTATCTATAAGCTCATGGCAGTTTTGTAAAACCTACTCTATGATTTATGACTCAGATCAAGAAAATGCTCCAACAAAAGCAGAGAATTTTAAAAAGAGTAGCATAGATCACCTTATACTAAAAAAAGGAAATTGAAACATTTAGAAAAATATTAGGTGCGTTTTGCGAAATCCAACCAAGGAGAAAAATCATCATTCCTTATGAGTTGTAACTCAAGCAACAATGTCCATCGAATTTTAAAAAGAGTAGCATAGATCACCTTATACTAAAAAAAGGAAATTGAAACATTTAGAAAAATATTAGGTGCGTTTTGCGAAATCCAACCAAGGAGAAAAATCATCATTCCTTATGAGTTGTAACTCAAGCAACAATGTCCATCTAAAAATTCTTTTCCTTTCCCTTTTAGTTTTCCTTTTCTGTTAGTCCCTAAACATCTACATCATTAACCTTTTTATATATAAAGCTAAATTACCTAATCACAAAGATAACATGCATAGAGTTTTATTTATGCATCAAATTCGGATCCTGAGCTTCAAAAGCAGGACCACATGAGTTATGTGATATGTTCAGTGAGTCACGCTTGTAGATTGTGATCCGCGTGCATTTAAATTCAGCATGGGCCACCATCATTCTGGAGAACTATTGTTGGGTACCACCTTAAGCACCATTGCTCTCTATCAAATTTGCGGTATTAGACTAAAAATCTCTCCGACATTGCTTGGGGCGCACATGTAGATGGCAAAATAGATCTCTAATTGATTAGGGCAGCTGTCAAGCTCTGCGACTTTCACTATACCATAATCAGGAAAACAATTTAGCTTCTACTTTAACAATTACAGCAGACTTAAAGCATAGATTTCTTATTGATCATATTACTCCTGTTAGATATCAACATTCAATGGACATGTCAGGGGTAATGTGTTGGCATACATAGCTGTGACCAACCTAAAATACTGATGGTTCGGGTTCAAGTGCAAATAAAACACTTAAAATTAGGTCCGTAAGGTTATTTACTCATGACGAATAAGTTAAAGAAAAATGCTTCATTTAGACATTATTGTTCCTACATCTACTTTCCTAGAGTACTTTCTACTTTATGAAGTTTTCAGAAATCTATAGCAATTTTGTTATTGACTTGTTATTTTGGAGATCTTGTTGACTATGTTTGCATAATGAAAGCACTCCATCTGTGTAGGTTCCTGGCATTACTCTTCTTCTATCACTGCCTTAACCATAAAATCGTAGATCGTCTTTATGACTATTGTGATGCCATTGGTCGAATGTGTCAGCTAACTTGGTAAGTGCGGAAGAATATGCAGTAGCCAGGAAGGATGAGGATGCTACTTGCTTCTCAAGGTGTGTTTTAATTTCTTGGGAAGAGTTATCTTTGATCTTCAATGTATTTTTTGAACCACTGCATCATCTAACACTTAAGTTACTGTAAACTGATGAGTGATGACAGAGCAGTGTTCAAGCCACAGAAAAGTTCATAAACTCTAATATGACTTGATCCGAAACTAGCCAGGGTACATTTCTCGTGCACAACTGGGTGCTAAGCTTTCACTGTTAATGACCACTTGAACCCATAAATATTGGATGAACATGGTAGTATTATTCTAAAGTTCAGATGAGGATCCTCCTATATTGCTTGAGATAACCTGCTTGAATTACTACGCAAGCAACCATGAGCATGGTCCTGTGTGTATACAACGAAATTGGCTACATGATTTGCAGCAACTAAGATGCAAACCTTCACTGATGCAATTACTTGATAGCTGTAGCAATACTCTTTTGATGAAACAATATTATCAAGGTTGGTGATTATTGAGTGAATACCTTCCACCGCATCAGGAGTGAAGAGCTTCTTAATAGCAACATTATCAATAATGGGCCCACAAGTGGGATCATCCTCCATGCCAGGATTCTTGAATGCCAGCTCTGCATCCTCCGACTCAGCCTGGAAAGCCCACGCGTATGCATCCCAACCCTCCACGCTGTACAGCGTCTGCAGGTCCACCGTGTTCGACGCAGGCCCTACCGACACGTTCAGTGACTCCAGCTGTGCACAGGTCCGTGCAGCGCTGAACGTCACTGAGTATGTTGAGCCCTTTTCCAGCTGCAACGAGTGCCTGATCTCAGCCTCGTTGCCCAGCCTTACGGCATGGTCCCCTGCACTTGGCAATTTGCAATAATGAGATTGGAGAGTTTTTTTTTTAATTTACCCATTAAAATTCTGCTAGAGAATTTTAGTTATTGTACCTTGGGGGACAATGAGGATCATACCGCCTTGTTTCTGTCCCGAGCGAACGAGCTCGACGGTGCCATTGAGAGTCCAGGAAGGGAGAGAGGTGGTGCCCTCGCCTATGCCAGCATTGGGGAATCCGCCTGCTGGTGGTGTCTCGAAGTCGCCATTCTCGAGTAGACCTGCACGATTTGTTGAATATTTGGTTAATTTGACTGATTAACTGATTTTGATATTTTCTATTGTTCTAAAAATTTGTGGTATTTTTATCTATAAGCTCATGGCAGTTTTGTAAAACCTACTCTATGATTTATGACTCAGATCAAGAAAATGCTCCAACAAAAGCAGAGAATTTTAAAAAGAGTAGCATAGATCACCTTATACTAAAAAAAGGAAATTGAAACATTTAGAAAAATATTAGGTGCGTTTTGCGAAATCCAACCAAGGAGAAAAATCATCATTCCTTATGAGTTGTAACTCAAGCAACAATGTCCATGGTCCCTTTAAGTCACGTGTCATGGTGATTGTTGGTAGACAGTAACTTCATAAAAATTGCATTGGTAAAAAAACATTTGCTTAGTCAGACCCTAGGCTGGAGGGGTACGGGTAGGTCCCTTTAAGTCACGTGTCATGGTGATTGTTGGTAGACAGTAACTTCATAAAAATTGCATTGGTAAAAAAACATTTGCTTAGTCAGACCCTAGGCTGGAGGGGTACGGGTACGGGTATGGAATACGGTAAATTTGTAAAAGGTAAGGTACATGGACATGGCTATATATATGCATGTCACGCAGAGTTATATGTATTAAAATTAATAATTTACATAAGATCAATATTATTTTTTTATTTACATAATATCAATATATAAGAAATAGATGAAGTATAGAATAAACAACCAAAAAGTGTATGAGGAGCGCTTTAAATTAAAACATGTCTTATATAATTGAGTATAGGCCCGAATAAACATATGCATGTATTCAAGAAGAGGTTTGGGTATAGGTACATGTATGTGTCGGGTATAGATACGGCTTCCTAATAGAAGTACCCATGTAACATTGGTCAGACTTTAGCTTATTTAGTGGAAATTATAAGCTAATTTTCTAAATGGTAGGCAAACCCATCTTTTTTAAATTTGACTTAAAATCTAGCTTGTTCGAAGTGTCACCAAACATGTAGATATAAAAAAGCTAGCTTATAAGCTACTCTGACCGAAAAATAAGCTCTCCAAAACACCCTCACGTTTTAGTTTATTCCGCTGCTGCTTAATAACTATTCTTGGAAGATGAAAATTTTCATACTATAATACAATATAAATAACACTACAAGGGTCAAATGTGATCTCACTCTTTAGAAGGTCAGGTAACAACTAACGCAAACTTCCGAACACTTGATAGTTAAAGCTAAAAAATGTTGTGAATTCATTTTTCTAGACAAGCACTCTTAATTAGTCTCTACTGATCTTTTGTTTCTATACTTTCTTCAGGTATTGCATCACAAAAGTAACTTATTTCTTGAAGTGGCTTTTTCGGAGTTGCGTCTTTTAAATGAAAGCAGCAACATAGGCAAAGACTTTTGATGCCAATACCGTACTACCAGCTTCATTAAAAACAAGGCGGTGCCCATGGCTAAAAAGCACGGGTCTTAATACTCCTAAATTTTTTGGATGAAAATTTTTCTCGGAATAAATAAAGGCACTAATAAAGTGAGCAATTAACAAAAGCACGTGACGATCACGATTGCAATGAATTGGCTTCAGGAGCAAGTCACTATCATTAGAGAGCCGAAAGAAGAAGAGAGCAGGCAGAGAACAGAATCAGCCCTAACAGAATATTTGTGTTGGTTTATTTTGAGGGTAGTATTTAATTATGATGAAACTTTGGCAAAAAGTGCTAAAATATCATAATCTATCTATTAAATTGACCTATGTCACCATCATAGTATTAAATTGTTGCTTTCAGAAGAGAGCAAGGAATGTGATCTGCTTTTAATTGATGAGAGAGATTGAGAGGTGGGTGCACATGTATGGATTAAATACCAATTTGTCTCCTTTACGCGCCGCACAAGTTACTTTTGAATGTTAATTACACTCCTTTACTTCTCACGATATTATCTGATAAGTTCTTCTACAAAATGACTTTTAATCCAAGAAATTTAAAATTTTAACATTATCCATGGGACTAACTTTTAATCCAAGAATTTAAAATTTTGTTTTAGACCGCCAACTATTCAATTTGTCAGGGTGCGCTGACTAAATAGTTTCTTTCGCAACAGAATGTTTTCTTAAGCAAGAATTCATCAGCAAATACTTTTTATTTTCCTTTTAAGTTCTACTTTCCAATGTGCGTTTAAAAGACCTACGTTTGTCTCCAGCTTTCCATCAGGCTTCGGTGCAAGACATTATTTTTTTCTTTTCTTTTTTGAGATAAAAATATAGTCTTTTCTTGATAAACAAGGCAAAGAATAGCTTGCCGAAAATTTTGATAAGGGATCAAATTCTATCAGGAATTTAGGAGGAAAATATTCTAAAACTTTCAGTTTTTTTTTCTTAATTTATAATGTGCTGTTACAGTGTAACTCAGTTTTGTGTGAGTGGGTGGGTGAAAGACTTTGTGGGTGGACAG